TGGTTAGACTATCGAACTTAAGGAGTAAACTCCAGTCGTGCGTCGGAGTTGACACACACATTTTTTTTTTCTCTACCGATTAAATTACCTACACTTTATACATTACTTTAAACCTGTGATGTCTTTGCGTGTGTTATGCTTTTCGGAGAACAATGATAAAAGCTCAAGGAAGAAGGGTTATTCGGATGAAATAGAAAATTTTTATTTGTATAAATACCGAACAATCTCTCTCATATCGTGTCTCTCTCACTACGGAATATTGGCGAAGTTTCTGTGTAAAACGGAAACAGCCACAGAACAAAAAAAAGCGTTCTCCTAGTTATTTTATTATTTTTATTTTAAGCATTTAAAATTCCACGCGGTCCAGGCACCAGACAATATTCGAACCTTCTGCTGGTGTTTCTACGCCGTATACTTATAATTCTATTTCCAGATACATAAATGGTTTCAAAGTATATCGTCGCATGTAATGAATGTCTTGGCAAAACAAGATCCGCGTAAGCACTGAAATTTTGATTTAATGTCACAGCGATCTATTGCATATCGATTTATTGAAATTTCGATTTAATGTCACGACAATGTATTGAATATCAATTTATTTATTTATTGCACAAAACAGAGTTAAAGCAAGCAAAATGGTAAAAAACACGAAAAACAATGAAAAAAAGTACTGAACTCTACTAGTATGTGCAAACAGCATACTTATACAAGTACACAGTAACCATACATTAAAAATTCAAAAGAAGGATGGCCAAATCGTACCTGATGAGGAAACAATGACGTCCCAATATGCCACATATATCAAAAATCCCTTATTTTTAAAGGTTTTAGAAAATATAAGCAAAATATCCATATTCTCCCACATTAAAAAGATATACCTTTTTTGTGTTTTGGTTATTTATTTGAAATTATTTAGAATAACATGTTCAGAACGCACCCATTGACGATTAATTTCGCACATGAAATGATTTAATATTCATAGACTATGTATAAATTATTTCCTTTTCTAAATACTTGTTAACCGTAATTCAATTAATAGTTAGGTATCTGATCAACTAGTGTTATTAGGTATTTAAAGAACTTTTATCATTAAAATAATTAAGTAAGTACAAATTGAGTATGAGCTTTTTGTTTAATTGCTCGGTTTATGCATATAACGGAACGTCATCGATCGGCGCCATCGATTGACTGACACACAGTGACAGTGATCATTCTGTGCTAACGCTTTCGCTAAGATTGTTGTTCTGAATTATTGTGATTGTACTATTTTGGATTACCTTCTGTTCTTTTGACCTTGGCATTGATTTACGGACTGATAACTAAATAATATTTTTGTCAAGACTTATCTTTCATTTATCCCCATACCCACCATTATTACCTTATGATGGGTACCATTATTACTTCGACTCAATTAGTCAGTGAGTGAAGATAAAGATAATGAAAGATAGATGTAGATAGATACAGATAGAAGATAGGTATCTAGTCTCGTCTAACGACTTACTCTTTAGCCGGCACAGAAAGAAAAATGCCCCAAAATGGGACTGAATTAAAAACCACTTTTTAGTTCAGTCCTATTTTTTTTCTATGAGGCATCAAATAAAATAGCTATGAGATCGCCAATTACCCTCTTCGCTTTTCGCTACTACATTTTGGGCTTCGCCGCAGTCGGGTAAAAGGTACTTGTTGATTCTAACCTCAAAAGTATCAGTGGCGATATTTAAAAAAATCGTGACTATTTATATAAGATTTTCAAACGGGGTAATATTTACAACATAAAAACAAACCATTCTCACTATAGTTTATTAAGGGCCATCAAAAATAAAAGTGAAGTCCAGCTCATATAGAAATCTGGCCATTGTTCTTTAATAATTACATTAACATAAAATTCATTAATAACAATTTAAATGAGATTAAGACTAGCACGATTCATTGATCAAATTAGAAATAGAAAATTAAATGAAAAAATCGTGATTTTCATAAATACTGTTAAACAATTGTAATAATGATTATATCAATGGTTAATTAATTAATTAATATATTTTTTCACATTGCCTTTCCAACTGTTGAGCGATTGACCGCAGATGTCAGGTATTCCGTCCAACCCACACAGTAAATCATTATATTCTCGGCACATTCTATAAGTAGGATTATGGGAGGAAACAGTATTGTTACAAATGGGTATAGAGAAAAGACACTCTCGTCTCACAGATCTATTTGGAACCTTGATATAAAAATCATTTAAAAGAGTTCTCGACATAGAGCCGTTAATGATGTAGCCATTGAGATCTTGAACCTTGCGTCGGCTTTCGAGAGTCTTCAATCCAAAGAAGCGCAGACATTCATTATAACCTTATTTATTGAACTTTCGAACAAATGGTAAATCGATATATCGGGATTTCGGTCAATTGTCACTGATCAACCTGCATTCGTTTAACTGGGATTTGATATGGCGTAGGAAACCCCCTTCCGGGTTTTCTATCGCCATATCGAATGCCAGTATAATCGGGCTGATTAGTGCGTCCGCCCGGATAGCGGAAGAAGGGTATTAAAATTTTTTGTATTATTTTTTTCTTTTTGTGTATGCTGTTGGTAGCAGATGACCTTTACAGCGTCACCGGATTTTGGGACGGCGAGATCCTAAGCGGACCTCAAGCTGAGATTTGGCGAGTGCGTCTAGGCTCTAGACCCAGATGCGCCATAAATGCGCCAGAGTCAATGCAGTTAGAAATTATCGACATTCAAAACGCAACAAGATTTACGCAACAAATTCAAAGAAGGAGACTTGCTGAACTTTTACCGCTGCATTGATAAAAATATGTACAAAGAGTTGCGCATAAACGCTGTGAAATGTGCCAGCTTATTTGGTTCTACTTATACCTATATATGTGAACAAACTTTTTCAAAACTATATAATAATATCACAAAAAATCGAAACCGCCTTGCAAATGAAAGTTTTTTTTTTTCAATTTTAATAAATTATTATCAATTCTTTATTGTCTTTAATAAGCTATAATGCTGGCGGCCCGCCATCAATTCATGATTTGCCCGAGTGGCCGCTAGTCTTAATAAGTCTGTGCATCCCTGGTCTAGAGGTATTCCAGGCCCATGGGGGGAGTCTCCTCTCCGTCTGAAACCTATAGACCACTCGAACCTGAGGGGGAAAAATTTCTTCTCTTTGTTAGCCAAAGCCTTATCCCGTGGAATCCTGGAACCTGCTCGCCAACAGAAACATGTACCTCCAATATGTAGTGTTAAATTTTAATTACTTTAATGTCTTTCCTCAGGTGAAGGGGACTTTCCAGACGGCCGCTCCACTCCAATGAAACATTCGCTATGCCTCTCTTTAAATTTTACATGCATTGCCCGTGCTTACATATTCTGTTTAATAATCTATATATATAAAACTCAAAGGTGACTGACTGACATAGTGATCTATCAACGCACAGCCCAAACCACCGGATGGATCGGGCTGAAATTTGGCATGCAGGTAGATGTTATGACGTAGGCATCCGCTAAGAAAGGATTTTGATCAATTCTACCCCCAAGGGGATAAAATAGGAAATGAAAGTTTGTATGAAACTTTGTCAATTTTAAACCGATCGGGCTGAGACTTTGCATGCAGGTATAAGAAGAATCATAGATGAATGTCATTGTGTATAATACAAGCCTGAGGATAAAAACTGTAGTCTACACTTCAGCTCTACACAGAAGCGAAGCGAGGGCGGGCTAGTAATTCATAAAACTAAAATCTGCATTGAAATTGATATTAAAAAAATGGTACGATCGGACCAATTGAATCCTGACCCACTTGCCCGATAATTCGGTTAAAAATGTTAAAATAGCCAAGTTTTACTTTGTAGAGGATGCGGTATTGCACATAGGACCTTGTAATAACAAGGAAACTGAACACAGTTTCTTTCCTAATTTCAATGCAATAGATCATGTTATAGATAAAGTTGGAATATTAGTTCACCCACTATATAGCTGCCCGCCTCACTTCGCTTCGGTGTAGAATTGTAGTGTAGACTACAGTTTTACGCATTACTGCATATAGTTGTGTCGCTTATGTGGTCGGTACAACATCCAGGTAATCACTTAATTAATAGTTATTTTGGTATTTCTTTCTGCTGGACTAATTAAACAGTATTGTTTCACGTAAATGACATTACTAATCTATATTTACAAACAAAAATAATTGGCCTTAATGTATTTACGTGCTCAAGTTTCGAAAGATTGCAGCTATTGAATAATATTTTTTGTTTGAGGTAAGTATTCGTTATAGTTAGGACTCAAGAAAGAAATTAAGTTTTTTGCAAATCGTGTTGATATCTCTCTCATCATCACAACTCGGCTGCTATGATTGAAGTTAAGCAACTTTCGCAGTGGTCAGTTATCGGATGGGTGACTAAAAGCTTATTATCTCGTGATCCTCCGTGCTTCGGAAGGCACGTTAAGCCATTGGTCCCGACTGCATCTGCAGTCGTTAGCACCCACCAATCTGCAATACTTACAAGCCTAAGGCACCTGTACCGATTTGATGGATTTCAGTATAATAGATATAAAGGAACATTGGTGAAGGACAGTTATATTAAGGAAATAAAAAGCAGAAAGAAGCATTTTTGCAGGCCGGCAAGGTGAGGATGATTGTTGTAGCAGTTTATAACTGCTGTACCAGCTATCTTCGCGTTTGGACTTTATTACCACTTAACATCAGGTGGGGTAGAGTCATTTGCCTACCTTTAAATAAAAAAGGCTCGTTTTTATATTTTTAAAAGAGATGAAATCTCTTGGAATAATGAGGTTTCGTTAAAAAAAATATTTACGGCAATGAGAATAATAAGTTAACGGAACGAAGTAAGAAATGGAACAAGTGAGAACAAATAATGTCACTAGTTCGACGGTCGAACACATGAGAAAAATAATTCTAATTAGTTCGACGATCGAACTAGTGAGAATAAAGGCAAATGAAAGGGGGTTTGTAATAAATAAAAATCAGACCATTACAGTAGTAAGCATCATTTACTGTTTACAAAATATCACAGATTAAAATACATTATTTACATTGCTATACTTACAATCAGGTATTTCCACAATGTTACCGTCGATAATAATTAGTGTAAACAAAACAATACTATTAAAAGTTGTAAGTAGATTAAATACATTCAATCAGTCTTAACAATGAGAATTCATTATATTATATCGTTGGTCAAAACAAGTGCACATTATACTAATAGTACGAGATCCCAAGAGAGGTCTACAGTCACCCATATGCTCATTAGACAAAAATATGATTTATCAAGTATTTTTTATAAAAACAAATCACAATGTCTTCGCTCGATTTTTTTATATAAGTGAAACATGAATTCAAATGTTACTTATAGTTGTGTTCATTAAAAATAGTCATAATCACTTTTTGTAAGCAAAGACATTGCTGCCGTCCTCAAAGTAAAGTGCGGCTAAGTGACATATGGTAGATTTTTCAGTCTTAAATAGCATCTTAAACACAGTTTAATTCTCTATCAATTTCTATTTAACAAGTATTCGTGTCTTTTGTAGTTTAAGTTTAAAAATTCGTAATGCGACGAATAGTTACAAAATAGCAGTAATTTAAAGATTACCTACTCGCCGTTTTTGGCCATATCTCAAAAGATGGTTTTGTCATTTTAGCTTTTAGCTTGAGGACGGCAAATTGCGATTTGATTTCTTTATAAAAATAAAAAAGCATACTTAAAGCATACAGCAAATTGATAAAACATAGTTTTCGTCAAGTAATCATGTCATGCACAAAGTGAGACTTCTCTTGGGATCGTAGACTTTAATTGGTAGGTATTCAATACTTTGTAATTTTTGTCAAATGAGGATTAATAATGTACCTATTCACATGAGGAGCTCGAAGGCGTGGGTGGTTAGCGCGATCGGCTGTGATCTTTGAAGTTAAGCAACTTTCGTAGTGGTCGGTCATTGGATGAGTGACCAAAAATCTTCTATCTCGAGTCTCTCCGTGCTTATCTGCAGTCACTTGCACCCGCCTATCCGCATTAGGCCCTAGTGTTGTTATTGGGTCATGGCCCAATCTCCCTATTCTATCCATGGGGAATGCCTGTGCCCCAGCAGTGGGGACATTAATAGGCTGATGATGATGATATTTACATGTAATACGATTTATCAATGGTACAACCAGTAAAAGGCTGAATTAATTAAAACAGCATGTCTCCATATTGACGTTGAGTATCTTAAAGCCAAGATTCACGATCGATTGGTTAACATTAATGATTTCGATTGTATTGTCATCAGAACGAATTTCCTAATTTTTTACATAAAAAAGAACTGAAAATAAACAATTACGCTGTTAAGGATTTATTAATGTATCTTCTGTAAGCTCTAAGTGTATCATCAAATAAAAAAAATCTTTGCCGTCGCTCGAGAAAGAATTTTCCGTTTTAGTTCTGGCTAATAACAATACATTCCCATTCAACTGGTTAAATCAAATACACTAAATATTTTTAAATAAAAATTAAGGTACTAAAAAAAAATTTTTTAATCGAACAAATGCACCAAATAAATAAAGTTCTCTTTCACGAACCAGAAAAGACGATCTACCCTCATTTCACGATGGTTAAGCAAATTTTGTCTCTATAGCTGACGTCCGAAGGTGCAGTTGGCAATGTCACAGCCACGTCCACTTTGGAGATGGTGGAAGAAGACGGCACCAGCTCAGCCAGTTGCGACGAGGAGCACTCGCTTGATCGTGACGTCATCGTTCTAGCTGCTATCAATAGGATCATTAGAAGAATGATATCAAATAACAATACACTCGAAAGGATGGGAACTTTTAGTGAAATTGATTGTCAAGGCGTTTTACTATTTCAAAGTCGCATCTTGTTTCACTTAAAGAAACCATAATTTTTCTGGAGAGGCAGCGTTGCAAACGCATTTATCGTTTTGCAACTCTTTTATCTGTCTTATTGGAAATAATTGAATTTAGTATCAATTTCACAAATAAATAAAAGTATATTGTTTTAAACTTTCATCATCACTAACATTATATATATTAACTGGATTGTTACCATGTACCTTGTTTTTGAAGTTATACTTTTGAAGTTATACTTCTTTAGGCGCGTTATGAAAAAATGATGAGAGTGAAATTTTTAGATGCGCGCGCATCACTGTAACCCAAAAGTAACAGCATGAAGTTGGCCGCGGGCGCGTTTTGATAAATATCATGCGAGTGAAATTTCGAGATGCGCGCGCATCACTGTAACACAATAGTAACACCATGAAGTTGGCCGCGGGCGCGTTATGAATGTTAGTGTCTAATAATGGTGGATTATTAGACATCTGTTCGAAAGGTACTTTGAACGATCCACGGAGCTCCATAAGATGATCGCGTTGTCAAAAACAATGTTGGCACGCTCGTCGCCTCTGATCACTGTTTTCATATTTATAATATTTATCCACATGTTTCTAGTTTCTATATAGACACAACGTGTTTTAGTTACTTACAAGTGCTAATTACATATGGACTAATAACTTAAATTCAGTAGTGATTTTAATTGAATATTTTGAATATTTATTTAATTTTTCAAATTAAAACTGAACTTAATTGACTGTGTTAACTATCCTTTTCCAGTCCTTTTATTATTTTATTGTAATTATTAATTATTTGCATGCAATTAAAAAATATTTTTAATGATGCTAAAGAAGTATAACTTCTCACGCGCGTACATAAGTTACACGCATCCATTTTTTTTTAGAGTCTCCGATATTTCGGCACTGTTGCAAGCGCCATGATCACGGAGTAACTGAAGTAATTACGGGTAGATGTTATTGGCAGACATATCGGTCTACCCTCTGACGTACTTTTCTTCAGTTACTCTGTGATCATGGCGCTTACAACAGACACATAAAAAACAAGGTACATGGTAACAATCCCGTTAATAGCTATAATAAATAAAAGTACTTTTAAGTGGTTGCTGTAATAATGTAATTATTCGTTTACCTTCTTAAATATTTTCAGAATGTGTCATGTCATATCAAAATTTCTTCATCAACGATAATTCGGAATGAAGTAAAAAAAAGATATTAATTAATTTAATTAAAAAGAAAACATTGTTAAACTTACAGTTAGTGTAACAGCTAGATGCCGACTCCCCTGAGGGGCTGTACGGTTTCATCTCATAATGGTTGCTGCCCGCAGAAGACTGCTGCCTGCCGCGGTGTCCAAACGGAGATGAGTAGCTACAGATATTCGTAAGAGATATTAATCAAACGTGTCCCTAATTAACTAGTATCTAAGTTTTCGTGAATTTTTGGAACGAAGTTCCTTACGGCAGGCTTGGAGGGGACAGGGATTTTGCTGCGCGACCGAACTGAAAAAAATGTGATAGTAAAACCGTAAGAAAAAAACCGTGGAAAAAAGTGCGTGGAATAAAACCGTTAAATAAGACGTGCGCAGGCGCGACAGTCGCATACACAAGCGAGTTTGCAATTTGTGTCGATTCTACATTAGCCGAAGGAACTTCGTTCCTACCTGGTGTCCCACGACACCACATCATTTCTTTTTTAATTAACTGAGAAATAACTGCGCGATATTCACGCAGCAAAATCTGGACCAAATTTCGGTTTTGATCAAAATTCGTTGGACTTCAATTTGGGAACTAATCGATTCAATATGAGTTTGTACCATAGAATACAAAAGTCATAAAGATAAATTAAGATATAAAAGAGTCTTTATATGTTTTATGAACAAAAAGCTAAGCTAATTATATTTTTTATTTTTAAAGCACTTAACTTCTAGATGTTTAATTCTATAGAAAAAAAATCCTAGAAAAAATTCAACGCGGACCAGGTCCCGTCTGCTACCTAATAGGAAATTCACAATATAATAATTATACAAGTTCAATAACTATATGGAAAATAGGTAATTTCGTGTCGCGGTATTTAGCTAAACTACAGCAGTAGCTTTCGCTTATTGGAAAAACTTGAATAGATCCTATTTTATTGCTAAACCAATATTTTTTTTATATTTCAAGAAAAAGTTAAAAAGACGGAAACCTCATTTATTTCTGTTTTCTCACTTTACATACCTAATTCAGTCGCACACGACAAATGGATTTATTTTTCTTATAAAAAAATCTTTGGCAGTACTCTAGCAGTTAAATGCTAAAAAACGAAAAAATATAACTATTCTTTATTACTAGTTAAATTTGGTCCACTTATTTCGCTACTTAAATCTTCTTGTGCATTTGAAAAAAGAGCTCTATTTCTTATCAAACAATGTGAATTATCGTTCACCTGTCCCTGACGTGGGGCATGTCGTAGTGGTTGTCGGGCTGCATCCAGTATTCATTGCACGCGCGCGTCAGATCCGGCCCTGTGCCTTTGTTGCTTGCATAAGACTTGGGCACGCCTGTTTGGACATATTTTGGATTAACCACATTAATGGTTGGACATTCTTTAACCGACTCATCTATGGCACTGACAAATAAAATGATACGCAAAAAATTGTAATTGATACTCAAACTAACCTAACCTAACCTAACCTAACTTTTGGGTTTGCAATTGTATTTTTAGGTGATCACCAACAATTTTTTGGGACTTAAATATGCTTTCCATTATCTTTTAAGTTTAAAATCAAAAACAAAGAGACATTGACCTCGTGCTGTCCAAGATTGAAATCTTTGATGGCAAAGTGTAAAAAAAGCCGATAATTATGAGAAAGTTCATTTAGGTGTTGGCTTTCCTAATTTAGGTAGTGGTCGTTTCTCTATCTGTTTTTAGAGAGTTGTCCATTTCCTGCGAGTGCTGAGTCATCTATTTTCTAGACAGAAAATAGATGACTCATCATCATAGACATGATTAAAATTGGATTATTAAGACGATTGAATAGCCAAAATTGCCAAGCAAGGAAAGTAAAAGACATTGATAATAATACATTCTTTTTATTTGCAGATGCGAATAAATATCTAATGGAAACCTTACCAGCCCTAGCAGCAATATATCCAGGCCTGCTTCTGTACCGGCACCATACGAACAGTAGCGCAGCGCCAGCAGTCAGCATGGCGACAGTGATGCCGATGCCAACGTACAACGTGACATTACTGTATTCTACACAGAACAGAATAGAAGAACAGGCATTAAAGAAAACCAAAGCGTTCCATTCGGACACATCGCTGAAGACAATACAATACAATACACAATTCTTTATTGAAAACATCAAAACACAGAACAGAAATGAGGGACATTACAATTGTAAAAAAGAGTGCTTCAATGGGCGGTTTTATCGCTAAAAGCTATTTCTTCCAGACAACCTTTGGATGGAGAGGATTTAAAGAAAGCTGGAGTCGGCGGTGTCAGTAAAAGAAACAAGGGTTTTAAACGAATTTATGCATTAAATATACATACATATATACATAGACTACTCATATATAGGTTTTGAGAAGACGCAATGTAAAAAAGTTTGCTATGTAAATAGGATGGCAAACAAGCATAGTGATTAGCTGTCACCATAGCCTGATATCCGGGTATCATTCGCTGATTGCCTGAACTGTTCCTTTCACTACTTTGTTGATCTGGAACTAAACTCACTTGCAAAATGCAAAACTTGAAATTGAGTGGTCTTGCTACGAAGGGAGTTCTTTGTCGAAAGCCATGCGACGCTATCTATTCCATGGCCAATCGTTTTAGATGCGTAGTAGCACGGCCGAAGCAGCCATGGAATAACCGTCGTAAATGAATGAATGATATCCTTAATCACTATCAACATTGCTTTGTTATCTTTACAAAAAAAAGTCTCTTGAAATTTACCAGAGAATAGAACTTGTGATTCTCTAGCTTGCGAAGATACAATAGTTGTTGTGGATAATACTGTATCATGACTTAAAAAGAATCTGAATGTCTCTGCCAAAACTTACTGCTCGCAGCACACAAGCCGTCTACGCAGGAAGCATGCTGCATGGTTGATCCGGAACAGGCCAATCCCGTGCACTCTCTGCGTCTTACTCTAACGCAGTCCTCGCCGCAGGGCGACCACGAGGCCCATTGTGACCACGCTCCACCTATTTAAAAAGACCATGTTCTTAAGTTTTGGACCTTATAATACCGCTTTTCGAACTTTTACTTCTTCTACTTTAAGTTCTAACTCAAAATATCTGGATCTACCCGCTGAACTTATAGCAAGAGTAGGTACAAAAAAAGGTCATCGACATAAATGCTTTTTCACTCGGAACTTCATCCACATGGGCATTTTGTTTTAATACATCACTAAACTATTACTTTTCAATATTTAAATACCAACTGTCGCATTACTGAACCATTTTAACTGCGAAGTGCACAAAAAAGGGAAACAGACAAATAACCTTAAAATCATTAAGCCAGCTCAAGTCTAAAATCACACCATCGATGATACGGCTGTTTCGGATGGACTCACCACTCTTGCACCTTGCTCAGTTGTCGTCTGTCTGCGCCACCAAGCCCCGGTACGGTGCACCGCAGTTGGGCGCCGGACTGTATGCCGCAAGTATTATATCCTCAAAAAACTCACCGTTTTGACATCTAAACAGCTGTCGTCCGTCTGCGCCACAAAGTCCCGGCACGACAAGCCTCTGTTGGCCGCCGGAATATATGCCGCAAGTATCTAGCTATTATATCCTTCTCAGTTGGCCTCACCGTTCTGGCACCTCATACAGTTGTCGTCCGTCTGCGCCGCCAAGCCCCGGCACGGCGCGCCACCATTGGCCGGTTCCGGCTCGGAGCACGTGCGCACGCGCCGCCGGCCGCTGGACTGCGTGCCGCACCGGCACGGCACCCATGGCGACCATTCTGACCATCCGCCGTTAACTATCACAACATTTAGTACAATGCCCAAAACTTTATCGGCTGTACTACAAAACGTAAACTAAAGTTAAGCCTGGACTAAAACTGATGCTGTCACTTTTGTTTGCTAAAAAGAAGACAGAGACAACATTAGGTTTAAACCAAGACTAACTTTAGTCCACGTTTTGGAAAAAGACAGTACCTATGTGTTTACGGAACAAATTCGCGTCGTATTGTTCTTTAAGTGCTCACATAACTGCGAATTCGCTTTGCACCGCAGATATCTACGAGTTCGCACGAATGCACCGCAAGAACTTCCGATCTCATTCGTACTTGGTGCCACCATTTTATAGTCCGCTCTGGGACCTACGCGACGCCACCGTCGTTGTGTGTACAATGGCGGAATATGACGTGGATTATTTAAATTCTTTGATTTAGGAGAGGAGAAAATGTATCTTCTTCTGGTCTCAAACCTAAAAAGATTTGAGACCAGAAAAGTAGGTCCCATCAGCGTTCATAATCGTAATAAATGGATGAACCCAAAATCTTCTTTTTCTTCTATATTTTATGTCTGACTACCGCTGAAGATAAGGTGACCTTTAACAGAGCTGTGCCACATAAAATCGTATCGCAGCAATTAGCATCGCAAGTTCGCGACATCTTATCGCATGGCATCATAGTTTTGTGTGGGAGCCCTAAAACATTTGTAATACTTTTGGTATGCAGATGCTACTACCATGATATCTTACTATATGTGAGCCGTCTGCTCGTATGCCCCTTATATAAAAAAAACTATTTCCAGCTGTCGTAAAGTTTGACCGAATCTATGTTTTGAATACAGCTGAAACAGCAAGAAAACTTGCCACTCCAGCTACCATCAACATGCCAACCAAAACTCTGTTATGCTGCCTCATACTTTTACGAAATTACAGAATATAATTACAAAAATATGTCAGATACTTCAACTGAAATCTTTTTTGAGATAATGGTTACTTCATCAAAAGGCAGATTCAATTCAAGCGCATAATCATAAATAAAAAGCGCTCTACCGGTCTATGTGTTGTTATCAGCAATCATTATTGTCCCCAGAGCTAAAAGCACCACTTATAACCCACTATAGGACCACTAATTCTCAGACAATATCACCTCCCTTCACTTTAAAACCTATATTTTGACATGTTCTCTCTGTAAACAAATTAGTCACTTACTAAGATTTAAATCACAGAATTTAGAATAGCAAATGTTTCTCATTTCTCAAGACCCATAAATCGACAGTCCGACATTGCCAATAGCCATAAATCGTATTAGTATCCCTTCCTAGTAACATTCCTATATGGTGATTGTATTCTTCCTACTCATTCAGACAAATTCCATTGTCTTTCAATGTTAATTCGTGTGTGTTACGCATACTCAACGATTCTTGTACGATCGCAGACCCAGAGTCTGTTCCTATCTAACCTGGCGGTGTTCCAGCATTCTTAGATTTCGAAATGAGATTAGTATTTAATAATCAATTGAGTCGAGAATAGTAATCTAAATCTAATCTTATTTATAAAATTCTCGTGTCACAATGTTAGTTATCATACTCCTCCGAAACGGCCTGACCGATTTTTATGAAATTTTATATATTATATATTCAGTGGGACTGAGAATCGGCTACTATCTATTTTTAATATCCTTAAGTGACAATGGTTGTACACCTGTAACGTAGTATTCTGAAACCTACAATTCGCCTCCGCGCCAAAATTCAAGCTATTGGGTATTGTCACGTAGTGTTCTCATATGGGTTAGGAGGAATGTTATCCCAGGAAATTGATAGAACACTACGTTACACACCCCTAAATTTTTTAAGGACAATATTGATTTTTTTATAATGTGGTATTAAAAATACAAATTAAATTTTCTCCTCTACCACCTGCCCCTATTTTTATGGCGGTACGAAGTTCGCTGGGTCAGCTAGTATATTATAAAATTCTCGTGTCACATGTCGTGGTTGTAACAAAACTGCTCCGAAACGGCTTAATCGATTGTTATGGAAGGACCCATTCTTTTTTCCATACAAATCTGCCCAATTTTGTACCTCAAGTATTGTCATGCATTTATTTGTAGAAAAATACGTGGAATTCATAAAAAATATAAATGGAGTTTAAAATACACTTGTACCACATAGAAATGTCGTTCGAAGATTTAAATTAATGGCAATACAGATAAAAATGCGCTGATAAAGACTTCTTAAACTATATTTTACACTAGCTTTTGCCCGCGACTTCATCCGCGTTATCGTCGTTTTTCGTAAAAAAGTAGCATATGTCCTTCCTCAGGGTTCCGTGGTTTTGATGTGACAGACAGATTAACTTTCGTATTTTAGTAGGGAAATATAATACTGTTAAAAATATCGCAATAAGGAACCGCAGAATATTATTATTATCACTGTGCCCCGAGACCATCAGCGTGTAACTCCTTGTATGTTATTATGTTAATGTATTGGTAATATTGTTTAGATCGCTTTCACATGAGTCTTAAGTACATAAAGAATGAAAATACTTCAGCGCAAAGCTTCCGGGTAGACTACGTTGAAATTTGTCCCGTCCGGAACGTGAACATAAAAAATTCTAGGACTGCTAACCCGGGAAAGACCGACATAACTGACCATGTGAAACACAACTGACACCGAGATCTACTGGTCTGAAAGGTCTGCCCTTGAGCCTTATTTATTGTCATTGCATAACACACCGATACTGGGAATTGCGTTCTTTTAAATTGGAATGGAAAATTATTTGGTATTATGGGAATTCTGGGAATAAAGATGGTTTCTCCTGCACCGCAACCTATTAAAATTTGAGCCTCGATTACATTTTGTTGCAACTGGGTTACTTTAAGCCGAGTTCCATTGCAAATTTGTGGTGGTCTTAAATTTCGGAGCAGAATAATCGGAATGCCAATTTTTAAACAAATTTCATGAGAAGGAAGTACGGGCATATTTAAAGAATTTAAAAATTCTATCGGGTAATTAGTGGCTTCTTGTACATCGGCCATTCTATTTATTGAACTATAAACTTTGCTTTCCCCCTGGATATTCGACAGTATTTTATTATTAATCTCAGATGCCTGGTCATTGCGAGGAGTTAAAATGGACCTTTCGCATAGCCAAGAATTGTTCTTATTTAATATATTTGTTACGTCACCGTAAACTGACGATGTAAGATGTTGTTGGGATTGCACTATACAACATAACTCAGGCGTCAGAATAAGTTTTCCTTGGTGTAGCAGTGGATAGGTATCTTTGGTGAAGGTATTTTCTTTAACAATATATCAGAAAATTCACGATCATCCGGGTTATCTACAGTTCTCACTCGCATGTTTATAGTCAAATGCACCGATTGTATATCACGCCACAAATAAGAGCTTTTCAGGCAAGCCCTAACCTCAGCAGCTCGGGTTCCCCGTGGTATTACCGTTAAGGTTTGTCGGAAATCACCACAAAATAAAACTGTGATACTGCCCATGGGTCGATCATTTTGTCTTATATCTCTTAAAGTTCTGTCTACCGCTTCTACTGCTTTTCGATGGGCCATCGTACATTCATCCTATTTGATTAAATTACACTTTGAACGAATATTTTTAACGAATACTTTAGCTACCTTACACATAAAATCTAAGTGACTATTTGAACTAAAATATTCTTATAGAATTATAACCAGAAATATATACAACTCACAACAAAAAAGAAATGAAAATAAAGCTGAAACGCGTGTGCAATACTATCTACCTATACCTCCTTCACTTAAAAATAAATACTTATAACTACTGTAATTAATAAAAGTACCTACGCTTAATAATTTTTAATTTGAACGAATATTTAAACACTACCAAAACAACTAATACCTGTTTTACAAAATAACAACAAAAGAAATTCAAATAAACTATTTAAAGACTAAAAGTCGCGCTGATAAGCACGGTTTCGGTCTCCCAGGCGGGGGAGCAGATGAGAAATCCTCATGGATACCCTACAGCCGGCTGCAAGGTTATGTCAGACTCGTACTGACTAAAAAACACCCGTAGGGGCTGCCTCTGGCCGGGAAGGCCTCTAAGGCTTCATCGGAAGCGATCGTCCCCCAGGACCGACGCAGAAAACAGATTTAGACAGCTCGCTCTCGGACCTTTGATACCCTACCGCTGCCGCGACCCGTGTCGAACGCGGCAACCATTACACAAAAATAATCCTTATAGCATGATTCAGTATTCACGTGCGACGGCGCGATGGCTTATTTCATGTATAAGTTTGGTGTTTCTATACCGAGTATTATAAACGTAAGAGTAAACAAATATGATCAGAATGCTCCGAACTGCTAAGCTATCGGGAGTTACACGTGTTATTGTGAGTCAACCATAAAAGATAGACATATGCTGTTGCGGGATATTTTTTAGACAATTTTATGTAGAATATTTCCGTCATACATGATTTCTATGTAACTTTAATCATTAAGGCTGCACACGCGACGGAAGCTTAAAAAATGGAGTAACTTCTCCCGTTTTCCCAACATTTCTCTTCACTACTCTGCTCCTATTGATTGTAGCGTGATGAAAAGTATACTATAACCTGCCCAGGAGTATGAAGAATAATTGTACCAAGTTTCGTTAAAATCCATCGAGTAGTTTTTGTTTCTATAAGGAACAAACACACAGACAGACAGACAGACAGACAAAAATTTTACTGATTGCATTTTTGGCATCAGTATCGATCACTTATCACCCCCTGATAGTTATTTTGAAAATATATTTCATGTACAGAATTGACATCTCTACAGATTTATTATAAGTATAGAAGATTAAACATTATAGAGATAATATTGGTTTCTATTGTCGCATTACATCACGTCTTGGTACAACTTTTACTTACAAGTGACGTCACGAGCATCCACTCCCAAACTATGGCAACCTATAACTTAGCAAAACGATCTGACGTGATTGACTAATGTTTATGGAGTTCGTAAAAAGTGGATATTTATTATTCTGTTGTGTATTTCAGTAAAAATAACCAAATCAAAAACTCCATTTTCAAGTTGCCGCGAAAACCTTTCTCTGGACAATATGGCGTCTTACTAGTGTGTGACGTCACACGACTGTTATTAAAACGTCAAACGATACAATGTAATGTCACATTAACCGGAAGTTTACTTGCGTGTGATGTCATTTTAGGTTCCTCCAATCCCAAGCGTTTTGGGTCACGTGACAATAGATAAGAAAACTATTATCTTTTTCGTGGGTTTTTAGTAAAAGTATGTATATTTTTTTTTGTAAAAATTGTAAAAACCCCTACCAATATTCATTCTAAACACAGATGCTAACATATGATACTTTATTTTTAATAGTGTCAAATACCCTATTTAACAGGAAATAATTAAACTCACTTTCTGGATATTCGCGGTAATCAATCTTTGACGGTGCATTCTGCATTCGGCATTCTGCGAACGGTTTTTCGGGCCACGGATTGTAAAATTGTCTCGAAAATATTACCGATCGTAGTATTTCTTGGTCCGGTTTATAGTGCGCAGTGTAGCGTAATTTTATGATGCTGTGCCACGTTGTTAAATGGTCCCATGACGTGGCTTTTAGTACATGTCATCTTATCTCCATTTTGTTAACATTACTTAGATTACGGTTTTGTCTTTTTATTTTTTTTTCTCCCATTTTTGTGTATTCAAATTTTCGTAGGCAAAGAGCCGAGCCCATACAGCCTCTTGTGTTATTTTTGTTTTTTTATTTTGTGTATTATGTGATTGTCTTGTATTTCCGTACCTTTTGTTTTATGTTTGTTGTGTATTTATTGTAATTGTTAATGTATATATGTCGTCAATAAATGTTTTTCTTTCTTTCTTTCTTTCTATTTAATTATTTCACTAATTCTAACTTACCATATACGGAGAGTACGGCGACATCTGACTCTCGCTTGCCAGCAATGTTCTCCGCCACACACGTGTAGTTCGCCATGTCCTGTTTACGAATATAAAACAATGCAGGGCCTTCCTATACATTTGATATGAATACATCGAGTTCCTAGTAAAATTAAGGCTGTGACAATCAGTTAACATACATTCACACCGATCGCCTACTCGTTCATATATATTATCATTATTTGACGACCTCCGTGGCCGAGTGGTTTGTACGCCGGGTTTCATGGTGTCGCCGACTCGAGAGGTCCCGGGTTAGAATCTCGGTGGGGCAGATGTTTGTGTGATGAATACGAGCATTTGTACTCCAGCCATGAATGTTTCATGTGTATTTCTATATAAATATACTTATATATGTACAGTACATGTATTCTATCCGTTACCCTAGCATCCCATAACACAAGCCTTACAGTGCTTACTTTGGGGCTAGGCTAATTGGTGTGATTGTTGATGTGATATTTATTTATATCATTAGTCTATTAATCTATTAATATCACTTCTGGAGCACAGGCTTTCTCTATTGACGGAATATGGAAAACGACGGAATATGGAGTGATATAACTATGTGGGCCCAGTGTAAATTGGATTGGAAAAATTTAACGGCTGCTGCCTGGTTCACGTGGATTTTTGAAGTAAAACTTTTTTAGGCACGCTTGACTTGGGGGGTAAGCTTACCCCCCAAAGTCAATCGTACATAAAGAGGTTTCACTTCAAAAAAAAGTAAATGATACCGCACCGCACCGAAACTGAGCCAATCAAGAAGTGGTTCTCGGTAAAGATATCGATAGGTAATCGTAGCATGCCATTTGATCAAATGACAAATAATCGATAGATCAATAGTTCGTTATGCCAATAGGTAGGTCAAAAAGTAATTAGATTAATGTTTTATAAAATCATATTGCAAATAACCCAACACCTAGATTATCGATGTGTCATTTATCGAAGGCATGATTGACTTTTTAAAGAAATAATGAAAATACCAGAATTCTTGCAGTAAAATTATATTTATTTGTGATATTGTCAACATTGGAATTGTAACCTGTTGATTGAGATGAACCTATTGAAAATCGATTTATCGAAATATCTATCAAAGGGCAATTCGATGCATCGGGTTTTCGGTGAATTGTCACCGTACAACTGGCATTCGATATGGTGTATGGTGGAAGTTAAGGATTCCTTAAGAGATAGGTTTAAAGAATTTGGTATAATGACGGTCGCATCACAATACATTTACGAAAATTTATTACTTGTAAGAAAAAATATTAATTTGTTTCTTAAAAACAGTGATGTTCACACACTTAATACAAGAAACAAAAATAAACTAACTTTACCTGCTACTAGGCTTCACAAAATCAATAATTCATTTAAAGGTCTTTGTGTTCGCTTATACAATAAAGTCCCAAGCAATATCCAAGAGTTAAGCATAAATAAATTCAAAGATAGTATAAAAAAAGCACTTATTAAAAAAGCTTATTACAAAGTGTCTGATTATATTACAGACAAAAATGCTTGGGTTTGAACTGTTCCAATCATTTCAACAGGTTTTTTATATTAAATAAATCATGATTGTATTGACGTTGTAACAACATATTGATTTGTAAATGTTGTTACATTATGCTTTTAATGTTGTGGAGTTTTTTTCGCTCGTTTTTCTCCGCAGCTAAAAAATATGTCCAATAACGAGTGGTAGGGAAAAAAAAAATGTTTGGACGATTCAAAAGTGTTGTACTATACATCCAATTTGAATAAAGATATATTGATTTCTGATTTCTGATTTCTGTAGAAATCCTCAGTTTCGGGCGGTACAGAAAGGAAATCGAAAAGATCCAATGAGAAAGTGCCTTATTGCGACAAATTACCTGTAGTCCTACATTCGGCAGCACCAAAGCTTCATCTGTTGCCTCAACGGGTGCTCCGTTCCTCATCCACCTGATGGTGGCCGGTGGAGCTGCAGCAGGGGGAGAGCACCTGAAGGTAACACTCCTGCCAGCTTCCACGGTCGCCGACACCGGCTGCTGCACGAACTGCTTCTTTATGTCTGTACAAATAAGGTTCTATGTAAACGAGATAGATCTTTAGACTTTATGCTTCTCCCGCGTCAGCGCGGCGAAACTTTGGTACTTGAAATTTGTTCTATTGTCAGTGCGCTCCTTCAGCTGCCCGTACATATTTATTGTCTCCCAAACCCTCTTTTATTCGTGTCAAAAATCACTTCATTCAAATAATTTAAATGTGGAACGCTAAGTATTGAAGAGCTCGACGGCGCAGGTGGCTAGCGCGTTCGGCTGCAATCTTTGAGGTTAAGCAACTTTCGCAGTGGTCGGTCACTTGATGGGTGACCAAAAATCTTCTATCTCGAGTTCCTCCGTGCTTTGGAAGGCACGTTAAACCGTTGATCCCGGCTGCATCAGTTAGCTCCCGCCAATCCGCACGGGGCACGCATGGTGGGTCATGACATTATCTCCCTATTCCATCCATAGGGAAGACCTGTGCCCAGCGGAGGGGAGATTAATAGGCTGACGATGATGAAGTATTGAGCATATGGTACCAAAGCCTGGTCGGGCAAGTGTGGGAGAAGCATCAGAGAATATGAAAAGTATTGAATAAATCGCTAATAGAATTTTGTTAATAAATTACTGTCTGGGGTAATCGTTCTTCACTGTTAATAAATAAAGATTTTGCAAGTAAAATGTACTCTCAACTGATTTTGAGTCAGACCGTTTTGAATAATTTAATGATCAAAAAACAAAACATATTAATCAATGAGCTCAAAAAATTGAAAAACTTAAATGTGATAAATATATTGAAAACGTAGATGTCACGGAAGGATATAAAACTGGACTCGAGCATGAAGGGTTCCGTACAACAAACCGCGAAAGTAAAAATCATCTAAAGAAAATATAACTAGAAAAAAATCGACACGGACAAGGCAGCAGACGGGACTCGAACTCGCACCCTTCGCAATCCGGGTGAATGCACTGACTTATATTTTTAGTAATTAAAATTATAACTAAAAAAATGGTTGCCTGTAAAGTCGGTTTTACGGGCGAAGATTTTACGTGACAACGTCTTTTTCTCGGTAGAATATTTATTGATATGAATATAATTAAATTGCACAATAGGAACAAGGAATTGAATGAAAATAAGAATTGCACAAATTTTAACTATAGAAATATATTTTGTTTACTAAAACATTGTACATGTAAACTTAAACTTAACACGAGAGACTCATCGTAACGTTACCGAGCGTTACACTTTTTCATAAGTGACTCCCAGCCGCAACCTAATTTAAGACGTTGTCACGTCAAAATCATCTGTTTGCTTTCGTCAAATGTCGTCATAACTTACAAAGTACATTAGGAATCGGCGTTCTCAGTTTTCAGTTAGCCATCATTTACCCCATAATATCACATTCCCAAGTGGTTTTGATTTTGAGATAGACCCCGTAACAAAGATTGTATGATAATTTCTGAGTAATTGAAAAAAATATCCAAAAAAAGATGACTGTGCTTATGATCACACGCGGACCATAGACTGAAGTGAAACTTATTTAGCTCCATCTGTTTGTATATATATATGTACAATATACATATTTATTTACTAGCTATAAGAAAGAGAGAAAGGCAATGCGCGCGCGCACGGATTTCTTTTGCTTTTATCCCCCACTTAACTCCCGTTCGCCTCGCCCGAACTCACTGTTCGTAACGCGTAACGTATTCGCCAGCTTACCCCCCAAGTCAAGCGTGCGTAAAGAAGTTTCACTTAAAAAATATATCAGTAACTCTGCCGACAAACTATTGTAAAAATTTGGCAGACACTTCATTTATAATCAATGTGTGAACTTAGAAAATAAGTTAAAAAAAGGATTATTTCCAAATCATCTGTAACAATTGTAAAACTATGTGGTTAGTAGAAATGAATTCGATCTGTTAGATTACAACTAAAACCGATTCCATAATTAATAAGCTACCTCAATTAAAAATAAAAAAAATATGTAACTAGCCAATTCTCTTCATATTAAGAAAATCGATTTTGAGAAAAAATTAAAAGACTATTTACTCACATACTTCAAGAAATAATAGACATTTTTTTTTGAGAGTTCAGTTTCTTTTGTATTGTAATAGTTAAAGTTCTCCACATTCCCTTTGTAAAAGTTTTATCATTAACACGAATAACAAAGCTTCATCACTTATATTTTCTGAAATAACACATCTTATTATGACCTACAGCTGTTATCCCCATTTCACATTATCTCCTATCTAAGAGTTTCTCAAAAAAAAAAACAGTAAATCCACTACTATTTTTCTGAACAGTCAATAAATTCCAGCTAGACATGTTCAAAACACGCACATAAGTCTTATACGGAATTGCTTATCTCGATTCACGCCTCAAGTCATCCCAAATAAAAGCTAGTGAGCATTTATCAAGCAGCAAAGTACTCGACTTAACGAGCGGAAATAATGTTTCCTTCGAGTAATGGTTCCGTGGTAGCCACCCTCCGACGAAAAGGGATGGGGCGTGGTAAAAAACGATACTTAAAAATTACGATACTCCTAAACAATGTTACGTATGGTGTGCTGCAGCTATTTATGGAAATCAGTAACCCCTTATAGTGAAACGAATGAAAGGTTAAAGTGTGCATGGGTTGGTCAGAAGAAGAATTTCTGAATGACGATATTATTTGAATTGAGATGAACTGAAAAAGCTAGGAGGAGCTCGATGGCGCAGGTGGTTAGCGCGTTCGGCTGCGATCGTTGTAGTTAAGCAACTTTCGCAGTGGTCGGTCATTGGATGGGTGACCAAAATTTTCTATCTCAAGTTCCTCCGTGCTTCGGAAGGCACGTTAAGCCGTTGGTCCCGGCTGCATCTGAAGTCGTTAGCACCCGCCAATCCGCACTGGACCCGCGTGGTGGGTCATTCCAAATCCCAATCTCCCTATTCCATCCATAGAGAAGGTCTGTGCCCCAGCAGTGGGGACATTAAGAGGCTAATGATGATGATGATGATGAAAAAGCTAACAATCTTAAGTTTTTCTCACAAAAATGTTTCATAATGAACTATGGCGTAACAACCGAATTTCGTAATTAAGCTTTAGTTTTTTTTCCAAAATAGCGTGACGAGTGAATCTGTGATAAAAGTCATTGGGGCTCAAGGAATTATGCGACCTAACAAACATACTCTATATACGATAATAGCTTTGCCCGCGACTTTGCTAGCGTTAGATTTGATTTCGAGAGAATGAATGGCAAACTCAGTAAATAAAAAAAATCAACTCTGCAAACTGTTCATGCCTTTTTTATGTATGCCTTATTGAAATTTAAAACCGATTTCATTTTCATAAATAGCGGCAAACTTTAAAGGGTTAATATAAGATTAGTTTTTGAAATATGCTTTCTTAGCTCACGGCTACATAATAGCTATAATGTGAGCCAAACTACAGCGTTATCCGTTTCGTGATCTGAGTTGTGCTTTGATAAAAGTAACAATTGCCTTTTAAATTATATAGAAAAAGAAGATTTCCATGCTGCAAAGTCAAGAAATCTATTTCTCAAGAACTCTATCTTCTGAACACACGACACGGTGTCGAATATTGTCTTTATCATGTTTATTATATCACACAGATAAAAATGGAAACAAAAATTCTTATCCTCTAACTTTAAAATTTTAATTAGCCGTAAATTCTTTAGGAGGGACAAATTAACTAAATATAGCAACTCTTTTATTGCTATTTCCAGAAGTCCACTAAACCTATTAGGCTTGGCGTGGGGCAACAACATTCTTGTTAAAAGTTAAAATTAAAAATGTTTTTGAAATAAAAAATGAATCGCTCGTATTCTGTGCTGTAGTTTTCCCAAGAAATTGTTAACTGATTTTAAATTTCTTCGTGGACTCTCGTATTTCTAGACAATATAATATGTGTTTTTATAAAGAACAGGGGCTTTCTTTTTCCGCGGATGTTTGGCGCATTCGGTGGCGATCGCTGAAGTTAAGCAACTCGCAGTGGCAGGTCATTGGATGTGTGACCAAAAATCTTCTATCTCGAGTTCCTGCGTGCTTCGGAAGGCACGTTAAGCTGTTGTTCCCGGCTGCACCTACTGTCGTTAGCACCCGCCAATCCGCACTGGACCCGCGGGAAGGCCTGTGCCAAAGCAGTAGGGACATTAATAGTCTGATGATGATGATGAGGGGCTTATTGCTGTATGTACGAGACGCATCCATCATCACATAAAATATAAAATCTTTGCAGTAGTGCCCTACTCTGGAAACTATACTTAAAACATTCATTCAACACGTAATTTTCTCTAGCTTCAGGTTAAAATGGTTTTAAATAATAGTGACAGCTTAAGACAGTTATCCAATCGATGGCACACAATATTTTGGGTTGTTCCGGATTCATCCTGTGACGTCTCATCTTTCTATAATGGCTATTTTTTACCACATCACCTTTTTTTAAAAAGATCATTATCGTTTGATATTTTTTTCTCATTAGGTTTTTTTTCTTTAATAGGTAATTTAATATGTTTTCAATTTAGATAACATCACAGTGTGTAAAGTTTAGTATATCATCTTTTAAACGACCGTTTTATAAAGATTTATCATATTGTTACGATCGATTACCGAGGTTCCCTATCAGAGCTCCATCCATCCATCCATCAGCCTTTCTCCATCCACTGCTGGACATAGACCTCCTGCGCTATTCGCATCCAGCGGCTCCCAGCACATTTGACGATGTCGTCAGTCCACCTTGTTGGGGGCCGCCCCACGCTGCGTCGTCCGGTACGTGGTCGCCACTCGAGGACCTTTCTTACCCAACGGTTGTCAGATCCTCGAGCGATGTGGCCTGCCCATTGCCACTTCAGCGAGCTAACTCTTCGGGCTATATCGTACACACCGGTCCTTCTACGGATCTCCGTATTTCGGATCTTATCACGTAGGGAAACACCGAGCATAGCCCTCTCCATAGCACGCTATCAGAGCTCAATGATGTCAAATTAAACTCAAGAAAAATGAACCTAATCATCATATTGAAACGGATTA